GAGTCCCTCCCATGGGAGACAATCCTCCACCAACTTCTCCAACATGAGTATTTCCCATGAGCTGCAGTTCTTCATGAACTGCTCCAGCATGGGCCCCTTCCACAGGGAGCAGTGCCTTAGGCACAGACTGCTCCAGCGTGGAATCCCCATAGGGTCACAAGTCCTGCCAGCAAACCTGCTCCAGCTTGGGCCTCTCTCTACACAGGTCCACAAGTCCTGCAAGGAGCCTGCTCCAGTGCAAGCTTCCCACAGAGTCACAGCCCCCTTCAGGCAAATCTACCTGCTCTGGCATAGAGTCCTCCATAGGCCTCAGATGGGTATCTGCTCCGCCGTGGGCCTCCATGGACTGCAGGGGGACAGCCCTGTGTGCCTTCCCACAGTCTTCAGCGTGAGCTGCAGGGGAATCTCTACTCCAGCACTTGGAGCACCTCCTCCCACTCCTCCTTCCCTGACCCTGGCGTCAGCAAAGCTGTTTCTCTCACATTCTCACTCCTGTCTCTGGCAGCAGTTTCTGTTGCACAGGGTTTTTTATCTGCTGTTACACGTGTTATCTCAGAGGCACTGTCAGAGCTGCTGACTGGCTCGGCCCTGGCCAGAAGTGTCTGTCCTGTAGCCGGTTGGCATTGGCTCTGTCAGACACAGGGGAGGCTCCTGCAGCTTCTCACAGAAATCCCTCCTGTAGCCCCCTCGCTACCAAAACCTCGTCACGCGAACCCAATACAACATGTTGTGCCTAAGTATCTTTAGGCAGACTTTTTATTCAAGTTGTCCAGCTACAAACTAATAGTCACTGCCTTCTAGACTGCAGTCATTCATAGAAGGCAAGACTGTGTTTTTGTAAAAGCCAGACAAATCACAAATGCACACAGAGCTGTTTTTCTGTTGCATGCTCTAAACTAAAGCAATTTTTCTATTCATATTTGTTACAGTATTCTTGAAAGTAGTCATAGTAATATTCTTATATAAAGTGTCCTTTAAGGAAAACTACGGATACACATTAAAGAAACATTAATTTCAAAATTTCTTTAAGAATTATTTCAAGAGGTATCTTCAAAGAGGCTGCATAGTATATTAGTCCTGAATTTGGTGGACAGTATTTCAAATTGAAGAGAAGAAAAAAAAAACAGCAAGTTTTCTTCTTCTAAAATAAAGTTGAGTTCATCTGTATTGTGACCATATTTATTGACATTCATCCTAGTTTGCAGATACAGTGTAATAACCACACTAAAACGGATTGGAAGCACAGGCACAGAGACTGCACTGCCCTGCAGGCAGCCTGTTGAGCCAGAGCTCTGATCACAAACCTATCTGCATATCAAAAGCCAACATTCCTACTTCTTCCTCTTTCCGTTTAGGCAAAAGGCAAGCAATAACTACACCTCTGGTTATCTTATACGACATAAATGCTGGGGTGGGGTGTTCAACTATGGATACACCAAACAATCCTTATGAGCAACTCTACAAAAAGAAATCTGTAGATGCATGTGATGAAAGACTTTTTGTAAAACAAAAAAAAGATTTGGAGGGAACTACAGCCATTATTATACTAACGATTGTTTAAAAAAAATTAAAACTGCAGCATTGAGACTGTGGATCATCTGTGCAGCAGATGCAGGAACAGCACAGGTTTGGCAGGATAACTAGCAGGAACCTACCAGTATTAAGTGCACAATGTACCTGAACTGGGTTTGGAGGTAAACAGTATAGCTGCATTTCTACAGCTCTGAATCCTTAAGTACCAAGCACTGTGTGATCTGACCTTCCTCTGCAATGACAGTCCTCCTGTCTCCACGCCAAGTTCCAAGAAACACATATGCAAGCACAGAGACTCCAGTTATGCTAGACTGAGCTGAGATCCAGATGGATACTATCTCAATTCTTACGTGGCTAGCTCCACAGGGAGTCACAGCCCCCTCAACACATTCCCCAGGCCCAAAATCCAGGTGACTTATTAGACAAGCTGTAGCATCACACAAATGCACAGACTCAGCTCTGGCCCAGGACTGCATAAGCCACCTCAACAAAAGATCTAACCCAGAAAAAAAACAAGTGAAAAAAAACACCACCTTTGCAACATTAGAGTAATTTGTAACAAGTCCAAAGTGATTCTTCTAGATACAATGACAGGCTTCTAAGAGACATATTCCAGCGAAACATACCAACAGTAAATAGTAATTTACTTGCTACATTGTGAGCAATCTGAGCTCACATGTAGCATTGGAGCTCCTCAGAGCATCTAACCTGTGCTTGGAGGTAGGAAAACTTCCTGGAATTTCTAACACTGAAGTTCAGCGCTGAGGTCTCCTGGTCTCTCTGAATCAAGCTGGATTCACAAGGAACAGCATCAACACATAGCTAACAAGCCTGACCCAGCTAACTGTAGGAATGTTGAACACCTCTGTGCTGCCTGGTATCTCTGTCTCATGGATCACTGCAGCTCTTTCATGATGAGTATGAATAGTAGCAGCTTGTAGGAAACCATACAACACATAGTCTATTTATACCCCACTATATATCTTTATATTAGGTTATATATGATATATATATTTATACAGTATACCTCACTATACTATATTTAAATCTTAAAATAAGATCAGCAAAGATGTTTGACACATAGCAGCATTAGGGGGAGAAAAAGCATTTCTGAACAACAGTTGTGCTACAATTCCTAAACTTAGTTTATCCAGTTTCTCTTTGGATACAACTATCAGTCCTTGGGCAACATATATATATGCACCATCCAACTTCTCAAGCCAGGATCTAAAGTCCCTGACATAGTACTCCATATATATATATACATCCTCAGACAGAACCCCAGTATTAATTTTTCCCACATCAACAGGTATCTCCTCTGCTTTTTGACTCCGAAGTTCAGGTGCATCTGAAGACACCAAAAAGGGTGCAGGGTAGTAAGCATTGGTGCCAGCAAAGCTGGGAGCAGTTGCCACCCATTTTGAGAAGATTCACATTCCAAGCTCACCACAGGTCAGCTAAGCTAAATTGGCTGATTTAGAGAAAACTAAGACTTTTCAAGCAATAGTTAAAATCTACAGTGATTGCAAAAAGTGCATACTGGGATAACAATCTTTTGTTCATTATATACTACATAAGCATAATTATTAGGAAAGGCAGATAATTACCAACCACCTCGATATGTCCATTATCCAAACAGTTCAGGTTTACAAATAATTGCCATTTCTTTCACACACAAAAAACCACGACAATGCTGGGGCCAAAACTCAGTATGACTTGTCCAGCATGGAATTGTGCTTTTCAACTAGTAACTGACCATTCAAAACCCAAGACTCTATCTATCACCTCACCAACAAAACCACAGAAGTGAACCAGCCAGGAGGCTTGTGTGGCTGAAAAAAAAATCAGCCACCACTCTCACTGACATGTAGTATATACCAGGTTAGCCACACACTGGGAACACATGAATGTATAGCAGTTGAAAGTACATGGGAAGCCAACTGCTCTTATCTGCTGCTAAGTGAAGCTCTCTGGTGACCCATCAACTTGGGCTATGTGCTACTGAGTTAGTCTATTTCTTTCAGCTGTTAAAGCAAAGCTACCTTTAGTGCAATTAACCACAGTTTCTTATCAATATGAATTTATTTGCCCATAACTGCAGCTTAACCAAAACCAACCAAGCAAACACACACAGAGCCCAAAAAACATACAACACAGAGAACATCAGCATAGAAAAAAACACCTTGAGCTCAAGACTGAGGTCTTTCTAAAAATTAAAAGTAAGCGAGTAGAAGCATATTCAATGTAATATGGTTAATTTAATTAATTCTGGGGTTGTTTCTAGGCAAAATGGCCAAGAGAAAAACTATGCTCCAGTCTCCTAGAGCGATGTTTGCTTTTGTAAGCAAGTGCATCAAAACTTCTGCATCTGATAAACTGGTTACAGTAAAGTTCTAGATTCCATAGTGAATTCAAGGCATCAGTTTAGTTTCTGAACATTAAGAGGTTCTTCAAGAGACCTCAAATACAGCCACCACATCTCTAATCACTAAGTTGTTGATGACTAGCTGTGAAAACTTCAGTTGTTACCCATCTGTTATACCTCACATGCAAGGAGTTTCACCTGAGAACCACTTAAACCTACACTACATTTAACTCATGTAAACACTCTGCTAGTCACTGACAGCAACTGAAAATTTGGTCTCCGACTCTTCATTTGGTTTTATGAAAGTCAAAAACAGTTGGAATATTTATGAAAGTTAGAAACAGTTTACACATTGCCATAAGATGCTGCAACACCTTCCCTTCTAATTACATTTTTTTCCAGAGGCAAAGGAACAGCTTAGTCTTTCTAAGTACTCTCACTTCTCTCACTTTATCTTTTGCTGGAAGACAAACCAAAAAGTGCCAAGTAGTGAGAAATGTGACGCCTGACAGTTTGATCTAACAACATACCAGTCTGACCAAAATGAAACCTCATGTAATCAAAGTTTAAAAAAAGAAAAAAGCACTGGGTTTTTTTCTGCTGTTGTTCTGAAAGATCTTCCATTAGAAATATCATATTCCAAGTCAGCATTAGATTTTGAAATTAACAACACTACTTATTGGTTAAGCAGTCCTAAACTGAAACTTTCAACTGGCAATCTAAACTTGCTGCAAAAGAAAACTGGATACAGATTTTTTTTTCTTTCCTGTACCTAACTATGTAAGTGTTAAACTGACAAAATTCACCAAAATCTACACCATGGACAAAAAAAATGGCTGTGAAAACAAAAAGTAAACTTAAAGAAAAAAACACCACCTATAAAATAAGGAAACCACACACACCCTGAAATTGTCAGAATGCTTAAGAGACAGTTACATATTTCCACTTCTAAAAATATGAAGAAAAAAGGTCTTTCTGAACAGCATCTAGATGGAATTACAAGAGGAAGCTAAGCTCTTCTCCACTATAAACTGGAATACTTGGGCAAGTATTATGCACACAAGCACTATAAGTAGCATTACTTAATAAACAAAACACATACCACTCTGGCTGCTCTTTCCTGAGATTCACACTTCCTGCAAAACCATGGTCCAGTGGGTACTTGAACAATTCCATAGCAAGCTGTTTTGAACAAGACAAAATATTTCAGCAAACATAAGCAGCACCACAATACTACTAATATAAATAGTACATTAAAAAAGCTTAGTATGAGTTGATCTCACATCATTTTAATAAGTCAAATTAATATCTATACACTGCACATGAAATCCAATCACAACGGTACAAGCAGTTTCCACTTAAAAATGTATGCAGAATTTCTTAAAGGGAAAAAAAAAAAGATTTGAAAAGTAATATAACCATTCAAAAGCAGCAATGTTTCACATGTGATCTGTTTTGCTATTTATTTACCAGCAAAACAAGTGAAACACAAAGTGATGGACGATTGTTGTTGTGAGGTCTTCTTTAAGAGCAAACTAAAAGCAACTAACAAATCTGAGATTTCCATATGACATTCATTCATACACTTAGTTACTATCCAGTTCTCTTACTCTTTTTAAGCAAAATGACTGGTCTTAAGTAGAAAACCCATAAAAACTGAACAAAGATACAAAGTTTGTTTTTTTCCCACCCTGAAAATTCACATGGAGCTGCAAATACAAACTGAACTGAGCATCAGGGCTAGGACTAGTTGCAATTATAGCCAGGCTACGACACAAATCCTTAGGAAAGAGATTTTTGAGACAGGCAGATTTATATGCAAAAGTGTCATCTATATAAAAGCAACCCCAGGAGTTTGGTAAGACATTCTACAGAAAAGAGTTTAGTAATTCGGCAACAATGTTCATGTTTGAAATGCACACATAGGGGACCTTAAGAACTGCTGGGGGAATGAAAATACAAGAACACAAATGCTGTGAGTATATTCAAATATCTGTATAGGTATAAGTAACAATCAAAAATCCAAACATTTTCCTCAAAAAGATAAACCTGAGATATTAAAAATATGACATCAGACTCAATTCCCAACAATCATACGTTACTTAAACACAAAATTCATGTTTAAGTGTGTAAGCGGAAAAAACATATACATGATAAATTAATTAATTAAATTAGCAACTTCTATTGTATATACAAAAATATTATTGATTTTGTGCTAGCTTGAAGAAAAAAATAGCAATGAAATGGTAGTATAGAAACATCTGGCTAATACTCCTTTCCTTCTACAAAGTAGTCAATAAAATAATTTCCTATTCTATACACACACACAGAGTCATATTAAGAACAGTCGTCAGACTTGTAAATCCTTTATCCAAGTACTGACAGGCCAAATTATCCTGATAAGCCCTTTCTACTGTACAATAAAGTCCTCTGACATGAGAAAAAACACCTTGTTTTCAGTGCATCTATATTAATCACAGATAAGGAGACATGGAATTCCTCTCTAGAGAGTAAGAGGGAGTTTTTAAATGTGCAGTCACACATTTAGGTTAGCAAGAGGCAGTGCAGAATAAGAAACTAAGTATAGAAAGCAACTCAGAGACAGGGCTGGCAAGCAGATCCAAAGGCAGCACAAGTTGGGCAAAGACTGAAGTTGAAGTGAAGCACTTCTATATCTGCAAAGGTAACAGAGTACACCTAGAGCCTAGGAGTCCATCACAGGTTTGTGCTCTGATGTATTGTGATAGTTTATAGAATTCCAGGACTTCCTTTGTTTTATACTTCCACTACTATGCAAAGCTTCTCTAAACACAGGAACAGATTTTGTCCTCTACAACTTGCCAATGACTCAACGCTTGAAGTTTCCTCTGAACTAAAAGTAACTATAATAACCAAAAAAAAGCCATTCATGAAGCCTTGTGGGCAATACTGCTGTCTGCACTTCAAGCAGGGACTATGAGCTCCAACCCTGAGGACTACATTTACCCCAGAAAGGCCACAGAAAGAGTGGACATGCTTCCTCTACCACCTGCATTCATGTGACATACCAAATCCGAAACGTAAAGCATCAGTGATACAGTAAATCAATACATGGAGTTCTTCTTTTCCTAAGATCTCTACAACAGCATCTGGGTTTAGAAACAGCAACACTTTGCATACTTCCTGACAGTCAAATTCAGATTTGGATATGGCTTTAAAAAAAGAAGTTCACATTCCTGCACTAAATTTACTGAACTGTGTCTCTCTCTACTAGGAATACGTCCTACAACAGACTTGTGTTCCCACTGTTCCAGCTCCAACTACTGCTATCACCCAATTCTTTCACTGAAAATATCAGCAAGGTTCTAGGTACAAAGGAAGATGCCCAAGATAATAATGAACCAGTAGCTGGTTCAGGTATGACTTCTAGAAGTATTCATGTTTTAGCAGCATTCATGATCCTAAGATTCCACAAGAACTAAGCTAACTTACTGGTTAACATCACTCAGCTCTTAAGACAACAGAGAACCAACCTAAAACCAGACTAACCTCACAGCTCCTGTCAGCTTCCCTCTGCATTCAATCCTACATTGACAGAGTAACGTGATTCTTTTGCAGCTCACCTGAAATGATTACTATTTCTCACTATTCCTTGTCATCTCACAAAGGAGCACATACCTGAAACAACCAGTTACTGCATCATCTTCAACACAGGCCAAGCCCAAGACACATGTCAGTAGTGTTTTCAGACATGTTAGGCACTCAAACTAAGGAACTGGCTTTAGGATTTTCTGCCTCCTCCAATTTGTTCACCATCTATGAGTAGCCAAACAGCCAATCACAGAGTTCCCAGTACTGCATAGGAGTTGATACAGAAAAACTACCATCTTATTCCCTACTTCTGCTCACATAAAGCAAAAGCCATGATGATTTCCTCTCTTACAATGCAAGCAGCAGAATCCCGTCTCTCCCTCTGCTCTCACACGAAGGGTCAGCCCACTGACAGAAACAAAACAACCACACAGAGGGAACATGCCAGCTCCTGAGCCGAGCTGGAAACCAACCAACCAGCCTCCACTAAGCCAAACAAATCCAGCATCAGCCATCCCGACTAGCACCCTCCCTCTGCACAACCACAACAGGAAGTCTCTTCATCTACCAGGAAACATCAGCCAAATGACATTCAATGGCAGACAGAGGTAGAAATCACATGACAGCTAACTCTTTCCTACACACCCCTCTCTTCCAACCCCAAACCCTCCTCAGCTACTGGCTGCCCCTCAGATAGGTTTTTATAATTGGGAAAGGCAGGAACAACAGGGATCGAGCACGGAGAGGAAGAAATACAGCAATAGCGGCCAGAACAGAGAATAGTAATAAGTTCTACAAAGAGGGAAAGGAGTTTGAGGTAGCCTGTTTAGGTAGACTGTTGCAGCTAAGGTTAACAGCGTGCAAAGGCAGACTGGGAAGCACAGACACAGAAAAAAAAAGTACAAGGGGAAGAGGAAGGAGGGAAAAAAATGGGAAGGGGGTTTCTTCCTTTCTCACAGACATAACATGGGAGGCCCTAATGCAAGCAGCCTCACCTAAGGGAAACGACAGACAGGCTAGAAGGGCAGACGATGACAGGACAGGTCGGACCAGAAAGCACGTGGCCCGAGAGACAGGGAAACAGGCTCCATGGGTAACCGGCCCGAGCTGGGAGGGGGCAGGGAAACCCGGGGCGAA